AACGTACTTGTAGTTAGATCTCGCCCAGAACTGATCATTCCAGGGATACTAACCGTTAGAGAAAGGCTAATTGGGGATTTAAATTCGCGAGACCAAAGAAACTCGATCGTGAATTGACTTATGACCATAGAATTGTCGAGGTGACATTTTGAGCCAATGTAGGCCGATCCAAGGATAGTTAGGGATCAGTTCGCCATTGCCATATTAGTGGATCGCGGGTGATTCCGCTTGACCACGAAATGAACTGACGAATGACCCTAAAACTATACCGAATGATCACACCTGTCGGAACTAGCTATCGATCCTCACGATTAAGTGACCACCGAGGTCGTCACGACCCAAGTGAACTTGAATGTGGCTTGATTCAGTATCGACCACGGGTCAAATATGCGAATTTCCCCAAAAGCCACCCGTTAGTCTGAGATATGCTCAAGTTACGTTATTTAAAATTTAGTCATTAATTAGAGACCAAGTTGGGCATTAGAAATTTATAAAGTCACGACAGATCATTTGGACGATGTTGTTATTAGCATGTTCAGCCTTGGAATTGTTCGAATCCTTCAGAAAAATCGAATTTCGGCGAGAAATGGATAATGACCATTTTACCCTTGAGACTTTGTTAAGGCAAAGTGTAAATGGGGAAGGGTATTTTGGTAATTTTACCCTCACTTTAGAAATGACAATTTTTGGACAATTTTGCCCTTGGACTTTTTGTGAAATCCCCATTTTACCGTTGGATATTTTGAAAAAGATTCGATCTCGGCCGTTGATCTTAAGATAAGAACAAATCTTGGACGTTGATTGGAATTGTGAGAGAGGGATATGATGGTCATTTAGGCTTGGGCTAGACACCAATTATTGGTGTCCTTATATTTATTCCCCATTTTTCCTCTCTCTCTCCTCACTCTCTCACCTCTCTCGGCTCACTCTCTCTCCCCTCTCCCACTCGTCGATCGCCTCCTCTTCCCCTTGGCCGTACCGTCGCCGTGCCGGCCACCGCCCGCTCGTCGCTGCCCATCCGGTCACCACACCGTCCCCTCACCACACTCACGCCGCCGTCCCTCTCTCCCTCTCGACCGATCTCACTCTCTCTGTCTCCCGTGGCCATGATTGGTCGGCTGAGCAAGCCACCGCCGCCGTCGCTGAACGTCTCCGTTCAGCAGGACCGCCGTAGGTGCCACGTTCCAGTCGCCTTGTCACCTTGGATAGGTTGTGCTTGCTTGGAAATTTCAAGTAAGTTACAATCTAAACCCTGTTTAGGATATCGGGTATTATTGGACTCGTTTAGACACGGTTTAGTTGGTTTTAGGGGCTGATTTGGATGAGGGGCCTTAGGGATGAAATTGAGGTATTTTGGTGGAAATTTAGGGGCCAAATAAGGGCTGTGATTGATTGGTTTGGGTGCTGGAAATTTCTGTTGGCGCGTAGAATGAATAGTTTGATTCGGCAATTAATTGCGTGAAATTGTCATGCAGTGCTGTGATAGTTGTGCCACGATTTGCGATGTAAAATGGCGTGCTGTATGATGGTTGTATGTTGTTGTGGGCTGATTTGTGATGGTCGAATTGGGTGCATTTGAGCCCGTGTATTTAATGCCCGAGTATGCGAAAGTGTGAGATTTGAGGCGTGTGATGCGCGTGTAATCACTAAAAAGCCCCGAGGCATGTTTACGCGGGTACAGATAAAATACGGCGTGTTGGCATGTTCATGTGATCACGAAATTCCTGAGGCGTGTTTACGCGGGGAATTGACCCGGCCTGAGGCGTGTTTACGCGGGTCGTGATACGAATGTGGGGCCTGAGGCGTGTTTACGCGGGCCATGGAAAGAGATTGAAAGTGAAGGTGTGACATGACAAGTGAGAATGTGATCGGGCCTGAGGCGTGTTTACGCGGGTCGCGATAGGAATGTGTGATGTGGCAAGTAGAAAGTGTGATCGGGCCTAAGGCGTGTTTACGCGGGTTGCGATAGAAAGTTGGGGCCTGAGGCGTGTTTACGTGGGCCGAGGAAAGAGATGGAAAATGAAAATGGTGTGGTAGTGCATGAATGAGTGTGGAATGTGGGGTTCGGAATGGTTGTGCGTGCGATATGTGCTTTTGGGCATGAGAATGGCTTGCAATGTGCGTATGATTTGAAATTCGTGTATTTGAGACTAATGTGCAGGTCGAGCCCAGGTAAGTGCATTTGTGTACGTGATTTGTATGTATTGAATGATTGCGTGTTTGGACTTGTCTGGAGATACGTAGTAGTTTAAGTAGGGTTTAGGCTGTCAACTTATTGAGATTCGTCTCATGGTTGTTTAACCGAATCCTTTCAGAACCCTGGCCTGTGCCATGAACCTTCCACCGCTGTAACGCCCCCACCTCGGGGTCATTAATGTGATGTCCCGTTCATTATTATCTTTCTTTAAACACAAGTGGAAGCATATCTCGGGACAATCACATTTAAAATAAACAGCGGGATTAAGACAAGCATCATGAGCAAACCTTGTATTTATAGGATAGGCAAACATGTTTACAAGCCAACTTAGCCGATTTTAGCCATTTACACAACAATAACAAGTGGCTTGGGTGTCCTAAGCCCACTACTTCGGATTCACAACTCCTAGCTTTCCCCGAACTCCAACATGGCTCAAACTTCCCCTGTCACCGCCGTCCGTTCGACCATCCTATGGACCTGAGAGGAAAAAATGGGGGATGAGTCGGGGAGACTCAGCAAGTAAAAACACTAATGTCAAGTGAGGATAAATCGATCGCCGTTAACATGAGTCGACCCTTACCGCACCGGCGTCGATGGCAAATCAATAGCAAAGTTCATGCCGACAAATACTAGAGAACTCTAAGCATGGCTATAACACGTGAACATCACTAGCCAAATTCCGGCTTCTATCTCGAGATATGAATGTCAAACACAAAACATAAACAAGCCAAAGAGATAACCAATCAAGACCGAACACGGTCCAAGCAAACCACGTCACAACGCATCTCATCATCCTTTCCCGAGATTAGGGAATTCACTTACTCAACAATTAAACAAGAACTAGCGAAAAACGAGGCGTGTGAAGGACACGTGAGTCTCGGCGACTCTCGGACGATTCTTGGTGGTTCTCGGGCTTGAACACGAACACTCGGGCCTTGCATAAGGCTTCCTCACTCGATCAAACCACAAGAGAGACACGGGCTAGTCGGTAAGCTTTTTCTTTCTTTCTTTCTTTCTTTTTCTCTCTTTCTCAGTTATGAATTCAAAGCAAGAAATAAGAAAGAAGGTTGGCCGGCGATCTCGGGGCATGGAAATGGCGTGAGGGAGAGGAAGGGGGGGCTTCACGTGAGGTTCTCCCTCTCTCTTTTTTTTTCTCCTTGGCCGAATGGCCTTCTTTCTATTTATAGAGAGACAAAACTTGGGGCCAAAGTTTGGATGAGGTAAGCGCACGTGTCATCATGGAGCATGAGGTAAGCGCACGTGTCATCAAGGAGGGACCCTAAAGTCTAGATTCATTTATTGCGAGTCATGATGAAGGCCACCAAAGTCCAATTTTAATAAATGCAAGCCATCATGAAGCTTGGAGGATAGGCTTTGACTCGGTCAAGGCCTTATCCTCTAGATTCTTCTATCAATTTCCCGACCGTGGACTCCCTAGAACCTTCGGACTTTGCCGGTTTCTCATGCAAATGACTCGGGCCAATCGGGTCACACGAAATAGACTAATCGGCACTACAATCACAACCCTCATCATAAACATCTAACTTATTCTCCGAGGGTTTTCCCAAAATATAACATGCTCGCTAATCCCATTCAACCCGAGGTTCGGTGTGGGAAATCCTCTAAATATACCTCAAATATCACCAAAAGACATCAAGTCGAGATTCCAACGTTCTCATATAGAAACTGATAAATCTTTGAAATCTGATAAAACCGGACAGTTTTGCACTGTTCACGAAATCAGACTTGAAAATATAGTAAATGGACTCCGAAAATTCTCAAATTTGAATATGTCGTAAACAAGGCCTTAACAAACATTTTTCATGAAGAACAAAAAATCGGAATCTTTCTGTAAACACCATTTTTAGTAGCTCAAAGACAGACTAAAAACAGTTCACTGGAACAGCATTCTTGTTTCTCAAATTAAGCTCTGTCCAGAATCCAAATCATCTTGGAAAATTCCCAAATTTATACACGTCATAGAAAAGGAAGTTCTCAACAACTTTTGTGAAGGAATCTTTTCCAAAATCGGCCCAGAAAAGTTTGTAGAAAATAAATACGGTGTGAACATCACCGAAATACCCATTCTGGGAAGTTTCACACGATCCAAAAATCAGGCCATCGTACCACTCATATCAACTCCAAAAATTATGAAATTAAAGTATGTAAAACTTCAAGATGTTTGAAACAACTTTCAAGAAGGAAGTGTTTGGAAATTCGGATTACAAAAGTCTCCCCAAAAATAACAAAACGAAGGGGTACAAAGGATCCGAAACTGGGTTTTCCAAAACAAGAGTAAAAATATTAGTTCCGATTGCAAAACCACCAAACTTAAACCATAGCCAATTCCCAGGGACCGAAATTGAGGATATTACAATTTACCTGAGGCTTCCCAGGCCCAAAAATCGGGATGTGACAACCGCCGCAGCTGCAGCATTTTGGGATTCCGATGCACACCGACCACAATGTTGTAGAATACCCGATAGACGAAAATACGACCTCGGTTAAGCATACTACTGTAGTCTGGGTAGACGTAGGACTACCTCTCTGGCAGGCCCATACCTATACTGCTTGAATGTTTAGGGATGGGTTGGACGAGTTTGGCCACGTCCGTGGCTTTGACGTGCCGTTTGACGGAGTAGGAGATTGGGACCCGTTAGCCATACCCCCTCCTAACGGCGAGATGACTAGTCTGGAGACTAGCCTGGCACAGTCCGGACTTCATCCTGCGCCTACAGCACCTGAGCCCTCAGGGGCCGAGCATGATCCATAGCAGGAAGAATCCCAGGCGGGGTATGATCCCATGGAAGCAGATCTCGAGATGATACCAGAGGAGGAACCAGAAGAAGAAGACCCTGGGGAAGAACCTAATGAGGCGCCAGAGGGAGAACCCAAAGATGAGCCCGAAGAAGACCCAGAGATGGAGCTAGAGGACGCACCTGAGGACGAGCCAGAGGATGAGCCAGTGGACGAGTTGGAAGAGGAGTCTGATGAGGAGGAGCGGGTCAAGGTTCTGGTGGAGTCGGGTGATATAGACAACCCGATTGAAATCAAGGCTGATTCAGAGTCCTCGGAAGAGCAGGTGGCTCAGGGGGATTCAGACTCGGGTCTTGAGGAGTCGGACTCAGAGTCGACGCCATCTGGAGGGCATAGGGGCTAGTTTTAGGGGTTAGGTAAACCTTTTGATGTGTCCCATTTTTGGAGATAGGGTATACCCAGGCTACTGATCCTTTTTTATATCGGTGGTATATAGTTTAGAAGTTTGGTGTGCATGTATATGTTGTGGTTATGTAAATGGTGAATATTGTATAAGTTTGAATCGGTAATGGGTATGTTTGTTCTCCCTTTTACCCCTAGTTAATATTGTCTGGGTGTTTGTGGCTTTCGCTGGTGTTTTATAACTTTGATGTGTTGGGTCGGGTCGGCGATGTACCTGGGACGTCGCATTATTCAACCGATGAGGGATGTTGCGAGCTCGATTGGGGTTTGGGGCGTGACAGACCAAGTTATGCAGGGATTAGTTAATTGAATGTGATTGATTTAGGGATTATTGTGGTGGTGATTTTGTGGCTAAATTAGTGATCTATTGAGATGGGTTCAATGACTGAATTGTAGTGGCGTTTGTAGGTGAAATTGGTGTTTGAATGTGCCCAACTTGAAGGTCGGATTGGTGGGCTAATGTAGTGAGCATGACTTGAATTTGAATAGTATGACATGTTAGATTGTACTGGCGAATTGTGTTGTGGCATATATGCATGAGAAATGTCCTGAGATGTGGTTACGTGGGAGTAAGCCCGTATTGATCGGAGGGCTGCCAACCTGAGGCGTGGTTACGTGGGTGTGGCTAGAAAGGCAAGAAATGATCTGAGGCGTGGTTATGCAGGTCGAGAGAAATGTCCTGAGGCGTGGTTACGTGCGACTGAGCCCGGATTGATCGGAGATCTGCCATTCTGAGGCATGGTTACGTGAGACTGAGCCTGGATTGATCGAAGGGCTGGACCTGAGGCGTGTTAACGTGGGTCATGGTTAGTCCGTTGGACATGCATGCGAAATGTGTTTGGTTGAATTGGGTGAATGTACGTGGTTATAGTGCTCGAGTGTTTATGTTATGTTCTTGAGCTATTATTGTTTTATTGTGATTTGACTAATGCGCAGAGTTGGCGGGTGATTTGAGGCAAGGTAAGTATGCAAGAGAATTCTTTTATGTCGATTGCTAGATTGCATGCTGGGACTTGTCTGGGTACACATTGGCCTAGGTGGGGTTTAGGTTGTCTGCTTATTGAGATTTATTCTCATTACTATAGTGCAAACCATTTTAGATCCTCGACCTCGACCTTGATCATGCCGCCACCTCGACGTTTTGGGGTCCCTATGCATACGGTGCATGAGGAGACCGAGTATCCAGTAGGTCCACATCATACTTACATTCGGCACCTTACTACAGTCTGGGTAAATGTGGGCTTAGAGGACTTGCAGTGTCACACTTACTTAGCTTGGTTTTATCGTGATGGGTTGGAGTTAGTTAGCCCAATCCAGAGTTTTGAGGGATAACAGCACGGCAACGAGGATGCCGTGGATAGGGAGCTTGGGGATGTGTATGCTCATGATGGTGGGATTCTGGACTCCGAAGGTCCCCCCGAGAACCCTGGTCCCGAACCCGAGCCTGTACCAGAACTTGTAGCGCTTGCGGATCTCGAGCTCAAAGAGGAATTAGAGGAGTCCGAACCTGAAGAAGAGCCTGAGCCTGTACTAGAGCCCATGAAGTCTGAGCCCGAGGAGGAGCCGGGTAATGAGGAAGAGCTGATCGAGATCAACTCTGACATGGAGTCGGAGTCTTCAGGGTCTGATTCATATTGGGCACCGTAGGAGCGTTTGGGTGCTGGGCTTAAAAGCTTTTTGGTAGAGCCCTTTTTGTGCAACTAGCTAGCTTACCCTACCACCTGTCCCTTTTTGATGATAATGGTGGATGCTAATCTTAGGAGCCTATTGTTTGATTGTCTGGCCGAATGTTATAAGTGATTGTTTTCCATTGTTATGAAATTATTGTTTTGTGTTATTACTATCCCTTCATCATTGTCTATTGTCTGAGTTGTTATATTTCGCTTCCACTTGCGTATACATGTGGGTGTCTCATTTGGGTCGACGACGCATTCTGGGACATCGTATTTGATACGACCATCGTAGGGGTGTCGCGAGCCTGTTGAGGTTCGAGGCGTGACACATTTGACACGAATCCGAAGAGGCATGACAAAGCCAACTTCGATATCCGTTACCTTTTCTTTTGTATTTATATCTCATAATCTAATTTCGGATAATAGAGAGTAAACTCATTTTATCACAATTGAAATTTCATAGAAATGTATTTCACTCAAGGAGAAAAATAAAAAAGGCACATTTTATTTGTTGATCAATGACACCTCAAAGGCAATACATAAGTTCAATGGCTTTAGTGCAATGGATAAGTCTTATGGCAACTTTGAGAGCATGAATCTGCACAAGCCTAATCTTGTTCACGTCCACTTCAACTTTCTTGGTGTCTAAATGAGTTCAAATATGAAACAAGAGATTAAAAAAAGTCACTCACATCAAAATTGAAATTGAATTTTTTTTAACATGAGCATATGTCAAAGTCTAAGGAAATGAAATGAATTGGTATGCAACTATCCTCTCATAATTAAAATATAGAAAACAAGATTATACAATGACTTCCATGATTTTATGGATCTCATAAGAAGCTACATTATATTTTTGATCTCGATGTGAAGATTATTATCTGGATGGTGGTCAAGGCAAGTAGACAACAAACAACCAATATCGCAGTGCTTTGATGACGTAAACGTTAAGGACTCGCCTAGATGATCATAGCAATCCTAAAAGCATCCAAATGGGTTAGTTTGCCAGAAACATTTCAATATACACTTAGCCTTGCGCCATGAGAGTATGTGTGCATCAGCATCAACACTAATGAACGACCACAGTATTAGAGCCGCCACGAGCATCATTGACCCCATTCTCTTGGATGCTATTACCACCATGGCTATTCCAACCTAAACAGTTCTTAGCCTCTCTCTCTTGGCCTTTCTCTCGATAAGTCTTGATAGCTTTGTGATCTAGTTCAGTTATGTGTTGAGATGAACCAATGCAGCACCTTTATATTCTCAAAGATTCATTCAAGTTGTTGAATGAGTTAATGACTAGAAAGGTATGTAGAGGAGAAAGATTATCCTTTTCATTTAATGATATATATCACTTGTCGGATGATGTGGATTTCTAACCAAATTTAGGTCTAGTAAAAAAGTTGCCATCTATTGTGTGAATTTCTTATTATATTCAGGTAGTTGTCAAATTTAATCTCACCAATAAGTTTATTTTTAAAGGGCACTAATTTTCTTTATAACCAAATTTCCCACAAATAGTTTTTTTTTTATTTAGGTTGATGCGGAAAGCAGTTAATCGGCAAGGAGAGTGTGCAAAAGTTTTTCACTGAAGCAATGTCGAACAAGAACTAATGTCGACCCAAAAAGAGGATGATGGTTGTTCGATAAATGCTAAAGTCGAAGCACAAATGAAACATGGGAAACAAGATTCGACAAACCTGAAGAAAGAAAATTCCATATTGAAGATAATAATGGTTGTGTTGTTGATATTTATAGTAATAACACACTCTATGAGTTTGCCATAGAGTATGTTATTTCGAACCAAGTATGTTGGCTGGTTCGGGGCGAGTGAATGGGTCGGAATGTGGGCTGAAACGAGGTGATTTATGATCGATTTTGTGGCTAGTTTTGGAGTCGATTAATGCTGGAAGTTGTGCCACGGATGATGGCTGTTCGTGTGTGATTTAACGTTCGTTTGATGGTAGTTCATGTTGATGATTCGTGATGGGGATAACGCGCATTATGTGAACTGTGGCTTAGTGTGATTGTATGAGGGGCCGTTTATACTAGAATATCGATTTAGTGTGTGATTGTCCCGAGTGGTCTAATGCTTGAATTGTGTTCATAGGTGGTGAATTAATGGTGGGTTGTCCCTGTCGAATGTGACCAAGGTCGGGTGAGTGAGTCATGACTTGAATTGGTGGAATCGTGGTTGTCTTGGTACGTATGAGTGACGAATGGTATGGTGGTTGATCGAATATCCTTGGGTGATGTTAGAATAAGTGACTAACATTAAAATGATTGAATAATGTGGCGTATGCGCTTGTCTGAATGACCTGAGGCGTGTTTACGCGAGTCAGTGGAAGGAAAGTTGGGCCTGAGTCGTGTTTATGTGGGTCATTGGAAAGAAAGTTGAGCCTGAGGCGTGTTGATGCGGGCTGTGAGAAAGGACCTGGAGCGTGTTGACGCGGGTTATGAGAAAGAGGCCTGAGGCGTATTGACGCAGGCTGTGAGAATGGGCCTGAGGCATGCTGACGCGAGCTGTGGGAAAGGACCTGAGGCGTGTTTACGTGGGTCGTGGATAGTTGGATGGACATGCATGTGGAATGTACTTGATTGAAGTGGATGAATACAAGTGTGTATGGCGCTTGAGTGATTGTGAGTGGAATATTATTGCTTATAGTGATTTGACTAATATGCAGAGTTGGTGCATGATTAGAAGCGAGGTAAGTATGTTTATGTGATTTCTAGTACGTCGATGGTTAGATTGCATGTTGAGGCTGGTTTGGGTACGCATTGGCCTAGGTAAGGTTTAGGTTGTCTGCTTATTGAGAATTATCTCAGTCCCATTGTTAAACATTTTCAGGCTTGAAGTGGCGAACAGTCGTCATATGTAGTTCGGAAATCGGAAGTGGTAGTGGACATCGATGTTGCTTCCCTTCTTGTATGCCCCCTTTTTATATAGTGTAGTAGACTATCCAACCACCGTCCCCTTTTTCTGAACGTGGTTTATTCGTTAATAGCCTGGGTTGTTATGGCGTAAATGAAATTATTGTTTTGTGCTATCCTTCTGTCATTATCTTTTGTCTGGGTAGTTTTATTTCCACTTCCACTTGCGTTTATCTTCGCGTGTTTTGTTTGGGTCAGCGACGCGTCCTAGGACGTCGTGTTCAATACAACCGTCGAAGGGGTGTCGCGAGGCCGTTGGGGGTTCGGGGTGTGACATCCCCCGTTGATTTGGTATCAGAGCAAGGTCAGCTCGATCGAAGATGGTCGAAGCCTCGAGTGATAAGGAGCGATGACCTTAGGGTAGTTAGTTAGGGAGACTCGTGTGCCATGCGTACCGTAGACTGTGTGATTGTGGTTGCTGAGTCATCTTATGTATTAATGTGTGAGGTGCAGGTGCGTCAGGACTTGAGGTAAGTGCATGAATTCTGTTGTGATTGAGTGTTGTTTGTGATGGGCTCCCTGTTTAGTGAATTATTGTTGTGATTCACTACATAGGGCTTTAGACTGGTATAATTGGCCTAGGTCTCTAATTCCTGAGCGAAATTATAGCAGGTAGGCGGCTGTAAGACCCAGTAAGAATGAGCAGTCGAGGTAGAGGTCGAGGTCGAGGTCGAGGTCATGTGGCCCCGCAAGCTAGAGTTGCAGAGGATCCCCGGATTGACGGAATTCTGAGAGTACTACAAGAAGTCAGAATAATGTGTCGTATGCGCTTGTCTGAATGGCCTAAGGCGTGTTTACGCGGGTCAGCGGAAGGAAAGTTGGGCCTGAGGTGTATTTACGCGGGTCATTGGAAAGAAAGTTGAGCCTGAGGCATGTTGACGCTGGCAGTGAGAATGGGCCTGAGGTGTGTTGACGCGGGCTGTGGGAAAAGGACCTTAGGCGTGTTTACGCGGGTCGTGGATAGTTGGATGGACATGCATGTGGAATGTACTTGATTGAAGTGGATGAATGGTACTCGAGTGATTGTGATGTGTTCTTTGAATATTATTGCTTATAGTGATTTGACTAATATGTAGAGTTGGCGCATGAATAGAAGCGAGGTAAGTATGTTTATGTGATTTCTAGTACGTCGATGGTTAGATTGCTTGTTGAGATTGGTCTGGGTACGCATTGGCCTAGGTGCGCTAGAGCCCATGTAGTCCGAGCCCGGGGAGGAGCCGGATAACGAGGAAGAGCTGATCGAGATCAACTCTAACACGGAGTCAAAGTCATCAAGGTCTGATTCATATTGGGCACCGTAGGAGTGTTTGGGTGCTGGGCTTAGAAGCTTTTTGATAGAGCCCTTTTTGTGCAACTAGCTAGCTTACCCTACCACCTATCCCTTTTTGATGATAATGGTGGATGCTAACCCTAGGAGCCTATTGTTTGACTGTCTGGCCGAATGTTGTAAGTGACTGTTTTCCATTGTTATGAAATTATTGTTTTGTGCTATTTCTATCCCTTCGTTATTGTCTATTGTCTAGGTTGTTATATTTCGCTTCCGTTTGTGTATACTCTCATTTGGGTCGGCGACGCATCCTGGGACATCGCGTTTGATACAACCATCGTAGAGGTGTCGTGAGCCCGTTGAGGTTCGAGGCGTGACACATTTGACACGAATCCGAAGAGGCATGACAAAGCCAACTTTGATATCCTGTACAGGTTACCTTTTCTGTTGTATTTATGTCACATAATCTAATTTCAGATAATAGAGAGTAAACTCATTTTAACAATTGAAATTTCATAGAAATGCATTTCACTCAAGGAGAAAAATAAAAAAGGCACCTTTTATTTGGTGATCAATGACACCTCAAAGGCAATACATAAGTTCAACAGCTTTAGTGCAATGAATAAGTCTTCTGGCAACTCTGAGAGCATGAATCTGCACAAGCTCTAATCTTGTTCACATCCACTTCAACTT